TATATATATATATATATATATATATATATATATATATATCATTTTACAGTAAAAGTTCAAAAGTCTTCTCTTTTTATTTTAAACTTCACACATAGTCAAATAAGTTCGCATAAATTGAAACGCAATGAGTAATACTTTTTAGATTTTGAGAGTCAAACAAGTTGTTATTTGACCATAACCTTTTCATATACCTTTTAAATTTTTTGAATTATTAATTATTATAACTTATAATATTTTATGTAGTTTTTAAATATATAAATTTTATTCAAAAAGCACTTAAAGATTCTATGAATTGTGCGCTTCACCAAGAATTAGTTGAGGTAAGTTATGCAAATAATATGTAATCGTGCTTTATTAGCTATTTTTGTCCGTATTACTTATTTTATTGTTCAAAATCTCATACTCTAGGTTTCTGAATACTAATCACTCCAATAAATTATCTAATAGCATTAATTTTAAGATATATTTGATTAAATTATCGTATTCCTTAAATAGGTACATGACTTTCATGTGTCAAAATGGAAAATATTTTAAACCTTTCTTTTACTAAAGTGACAAATAACAAGACGAAGAGATTTATATATAAGCCTTTAAACAAATTAAAAAAATTTCATAATAAACATATCGGAAGTCCTACAACTACTATTAGTAACTTTTTAGCTTTTAACACGCCTCTAAAGAAAATATAAATTTCTAGTGTGTTCACTAAATTATCCTTAATTAATTATTATTTTAATATATTTAAATATATAAATAAGAATAAATTTTAAAAAATAAAATTAATTATTTCTTAATTATGTAAAAAAATATTTATTTTAAACTAAAATATAAAGGCCAAAAAATTAATTATTATGGATAGGAGAGAATAATACAAAGAATTTTACGTTTTCAAAGTTATTTATATAAAGGGATTGGAAAGAGTGACATATAAATTGACGCAAAAGGGGTAGGACCACTTTTGTGTTGGAGAAATAAAAAAGGGTTAAAATAGTAATTAAGGAAAAAAGCAGGGTTTAAATATATGACAGAATCTAACCCCTATAACTTTTGTCGTAACTGCGACGCCACTCACAAAAACTCGACGGTTACATCCAAAGCCCACTGCATAATCTCGAACTCTGAAACCAAACCCTTAAAAGTTTTATGCCCTCGATTTTCATATTATTTACCATTTTGTCTAGAATTTGTGTAGCACAGTATTAATTTCTCAACCTATTCCCTTTTCTTGAACCTCTCTGCTTCTAGCTCTTCTGTTTACATTAAAGTCCTTAAGATTTTGCCAGAAGAAAACAGTACTAGTCCTTTNAAAGCTTTGGTTTTTTTTGGTAAAAATCAAAACTTTAATATCAATGTGGATGTTGATGTTATTATAGTGTTGAATGATCATCTGATTTTTTCTTGATCCTTTTTGTTTCTTTTAATGTAAAGATTGGATTTTTTAATTCTGCTGATCACTTATATAGCTGTATATGTGTAATTTGTTTAGTTCTGTTTCTTGTTTTTTTGCATGTCTTGTATAGTTGTGTTATTGATGAGTAATGGGTAGGGCAATGTGGATTATAAGTTCTTTTTGATTTTCTTATTTGTTTGGATTAATGGGTATTTGGTGTTTGAACTTTTTTGTTTATAGAGGAGGGTTTTAGGATCAATAGGGTTTTAGACTTTTTGTCTTATTCTTCTAGGTAGTAAAAAACAAAAATTTGGGCCCCTTGCTTTACTATTGTGCTTGATAATGGATAATTTGCTTTTCAATAATGAAACATTATGAATGATTGTAATATGAATGTATGTCATTTTGTTGGATGATGTTTTTTCAGTAAAAGGTTTCACAATTAAACTGTATGCGGCATGAAATTTCTGTCTTTAGTTGCACATATCAGCAGTGGCTCTGGATTTTCACTAAGGGGAGTCAATATATACACGCACACACATATATATAAATTTGACCTATCTACACGGTATAATTTCCGGTAAAGGGGTGTCAATTGACTCCCCTTGGACAAGGGGTAGCTCCGCCCCTGCGTATCAGTTGATTTCTGTTCTTTTATTAGGAAAAAGAATCTTTTTTGGTTGGTTACTGCAGAGCCTTGATGAAATTTAGGTTTGAATGCATTATTGTCAGGGATAAAGAGGAGAGGTTTCTTGCTAATTTGAGAACATTGGGTCAAGCCTCAGCTAGCAGGTAAAAGGTGTTCTTGGTATCAGTTTCATTACCTGATTTCTTTTCTTGGGTGGAGGTTAAATTGTTATTTTCTCACCCCAAGAGATTTTTTTTGTCGATTTGGCATGATTTTCGTGTTAGAAAGTTGATTACAATATTTACTTTAATGTTGAGTTGAACGGCATGTGAACACAACTATTTTATTGTTAATTTTGGATTAGATTCAGTTTGGGGCATTAATTGTACTAGCATGTACAATATCTTCCCCTATTGGATATATATGGGCATCCGAAGAGGTTTAAAATATTCTTGGGCTACCCCACTCAGGCGTAAGGGGCGAGTTCATCCAATTCAATTAAGAAAAGCTTAACCTATGTGAAATTAAGACATTAAAAGTTTCTGTTTGTTAGACAAGGCCTGCATGCTGTCTTGCTGTTTTGCTAGTGGCATAGAAGAGTTCTTTGCATGAACAAAATATATTTTGTTAAAAACGCTTACTTAAGCTCATCAAGGTGTGTTCTTAGGTCAAAGAGAGGGCTGACATGATTATTAAAGCTATTGATGTTCTGAATTGGATTTATCGGATACCCTTGCATGCTAAAGCCAATTTATTTTTACGTTATCCCTAGAGTTAACAAAATGGCCAGTGAAATAATAGGGTAAAGATTACATTTAGGGTCTAGTATGTGGTCCTAAAAGGACAATATCGTCTAAGCTTGGTTGAGACACTTGACAGAAACAACGAAGTCCAGTTGAGACTGTGTGAATTTCTAAAGAAGGTGGGAAGACAAAATAAATTTGCTTATTGATTCTCTTCAATCAATCAACTATGTCTCAATTCCAAAGTAGTGGGAGTCTGCTATATAAATCCTCTATATCCATCTGCTCTATTCGGGCTTATTTCATTCCGATATAGGATAGTTCGTTTCTTAACAGAAATTAGGTGCTCTCTAAAATCAGAGGTTATTTGACACTTATCCCTACACTGACGTACAAGTACCTAGCCAGACTAGTATACATTAGACCTAATGAAGTGTAATAATAACAATTACATCGTAATCCTAACAAGTTGGTATCGTTTTTATGATTCCTTTCCATTTTGTTCTGGTCTTGCTAAGTGTACATTGATTCCAAGAGTTTATAGGTCTTTTGACTCTACATTAGACCTACTCGTGCTCTGTTTTCACCTTCAGTCATCATAATGTTGCACCTATCGCCTAGTACTTTTGGAGGTCACGTTCAAATAATCTTGGATGACTTTGATTTTGGTTCCTCTCATTTTATCTTCTGTGTGCAACTTGCACTTTTGTAGGATAACTTGTCCAATATTGTATGATCGGATATCCATCTTAACATTCACATTTTTAAGGAACCCTATCTTTTGATTATGTTGGGGTGTAACATAGTTAGTCTCACGACCATTATATGGAACTTACCCTTTAGTTTGTCAGGTATTGTTTGGTAATTTAGCACTCTTATTATATCATCTTCTCTTAGTTAAGAATTTCATGGGAATTGCTTCTACCATCTCAGGTGAAAAAGGATGAGTATAGCAGCACTTTAGAGCTCTAAGGTCATTTAATTGACCTTAATGAAGGAAAATATGCTGACACCATTTCCAAAAATACCACTTTGTGTACCTTAACTAGCAGCTTCATCGTTACCTCCTTACGTGCTTTTGTCTAAACCAAAAACCTATCTTAACAGTATCATCCAATCACCAAAAAGATATGAAAGTTGGTTCTTCTTGTAAAACATTCTCCCCTTAAATGAAAGAAACAACTCAATTTTAGCATCTGGTATTTGGAAATGATTGTTGGAGATCTCTTTATGGCAGGCTGGCAAGTTAACATCCCAGTTTTGGTTTCCCATTGACTGTCCACAGTCCAAGCCCCGGCTTGGCTAGTCAGGCTTGTGGAGGTATACTTCTTTTATGCTCCATTATGACAAAGTGATTGATATCTATATATATTTCACAAAGCAATGTTATTTGAGGAACTAAGTATTCTAGATATAGGACTTACAATATCAATTCAAAATCTTTGATATGCTAATATGTTTTTTACTTCTGGAATTATCTAATTATCAAATCAAATCCTTTGGGAAGGCTGACAAATAACTCATCCCAAGTATGGTTAGATTTCTTTTAATTTAAAATAGTTTTCCCTGTTCTAAATATCAAATAGGCCATTTATTTTATAAAAAATGTCACAAGGGTTCTGAGCTTTTGGGTTTGTTTAATCTAGTGAGATATAATAGCTATGTGGTCTATGATCGTATAAATGCTTCCAAAACGAATGGTATGTTTTCTTAAACAAAGCTTAATGGGCTTGTCTTATTGCATTGGGGTGGAATTGTTTCGAAGGCATTGCTGAAGTATTTTCTCATTGTTAGATGAATTATGCTTACTTTTGTTCTGTTCTTTCTTTGTAGTATATTCTTGAACCACTTTGTTATTTTCCAGAGTTAGATGGAGCATGATCTTATTGAGCAGCAAGTGCCTTCAGGTACTCTGAAGGGCATAATTTTCAATATCTTATCGGAGACTGATGCAGTAAGTATATGTCAAACTTTTGGTGTAATTTAAATTAGAAAGCATGTCTGCTTCATTCTATTGGTATCTTGCAGTGGATCTAGTCCCACTGGCCAAAGTAGCTTGTCTCAGTTTTCTTTTCTCTCTGTTGCAAAATGGTGTGCGTTCCTAAATAAAGGTTTCATATACTAACAATTACATTATAAACACCCTGCTACTTCAAAATCTGCCAGTCCTCAGTTTTATACCTTGAAAATCTCAAATTGATATGAACTATGAAGTAATCTAAAACACGAATTTGGAGCCTGGAGCCCACATTTCTATAAACTGCTATCTATTTCTTAGTCTAATCATAATAGGCTATGTCAAGTCAAACTAAGGCTTATAAATTTGGAATGGATGTAGTTGCTAATTTTAGACCTTTCTGATAAATTTAATTATCAAATGGAGATTGTCCACATTTATGCCTTTCCTGCTTTTCTAGGCCAAATTGGCAGCTAAGGTTATTGGAGTAGTGAATGAAGTAACAGATCCTGCATTGGGGTTTCCGAATCCAATCTTTGAGTGCTCCACCTGTGGTGCAAAAGATGGGAAAAAATGTGAAGGTATGAGCGGAAGCTGATGATTTGCTAATAGCTCATGCATTACTACTTTCACCTACACTGGAAGTAATTGTTCTAATATTTAGTCTACTACATCCTTTCCAGGTCATTTTGGACTAATAAACTTCCCGTTCACAATACTCAATCCTTATTTCATATCAGAGGTTGCAAAGATCCTGAACAAAGTATGTCCGGGATGTAAATCTGTGCGGCGTGATAAGGTCAAGGTCAGGTACTATACACTCAGTACTGAAACTTGATACCATTTCATTAAAGATGAGAACTTTAGCAGCATAGCTTATTTTTTCAGTAACATATGTAGTAGCTATTTGTCACAAAAACATCTTAGTGAATTCTTCAGGTGAATCACATGTAGGGAAGTAATTCCTTTTTCTAATTCAGTTACTAACAGTAGTTTAGTGTTACTTTTGTTAATGCACTTGCTCCAAGTTCCTACTCCACCATTCATGTTTTAGCTGATGTAATTTGGGTTTTGATAATAGTTAGTTTATGGAGATAAGACGAGTTGGCGTATCATCGTTGTGGCGAGGTAGCATGCTATGCTGGTATAGGGCTGCTTATCGGGCGGATTGGGCGGTTATTTACTCTTAACAGTTTGACTTATCGGTTCGGTTTTGAACACCCCTATGCTGGTGTTCTGGCCCACCGCTCAGCACTATACAATGAATAGATGCCATTTCTTGTGCATTTGTATAAACAACTGTGTGCATTTTCACTTTCCTAAACAATGCTGTCAGTTTTCTGTTCATGTCCTGGTGGAACCAGTCACCACAAATTGATTAAAATCAGGTTTACAGGGGAAAAATAGCACCTTGTATTTAAGAAGTCTGTTACATCTTACTGGTTTGTTTGAGGCATTTCGCCTTTTTTTTTTTTTTTTTTTCTT